TTTTGTCTTTAAGTTTAATAAAATTGTATATATTTTTGTCTACAAATTAAGTTCTCATGTATCACGCGAACCATATTTTAAGATTATTTGAGTATTTTATTTTCTAAATAAACTTTACAATAATGAATATATTTCATTTATATTGTAGTTCATTAGAAAGTAATCAAAATATTATGAGTTTATATATAAGAGCGATGAATAAAAATGTAAATGAATGATATGAGATAACAGAAAGAAAAAAATATGTTATTTATTGAATCATCATAATTGTATTTCAACCGATTGTCAGGAGGTTGAATGTTTAGAAAGAAATAGGATATATGATTTCACTAAGAAAAAATTTAAGAAATTAAATATTTTATTCAAAAAGAGGATTGAACAATTTCACTAAATATGAGAAAATAAGGTGAAATTTTGAAATATAAGATTTTATTCAAAATTTTATATTTGAGTTTCTTTGGAAATATAAAATAAAAAAAGTTTAAAAACTCTGTAATACCATAATTTAAATAAATATAAAAAGAGAAATTTTGATAAACGACACTTTTCAAAAATACCACTTTTTCAAAATCTTTGTAAAAATGCCACTTTTTCAAAATTATTTACTCATTTTATCATTTATATTTGGATTAACTATATTGTATTAGTGGCACACCAAAAGTGGTATTTTTGCATTTGTCCCTATAAAAACACTTAAGTTTTGAAACATATAAAGTAAAAAATAAATGGTGACATTATTCATAAATTGTACAACAAAAAATATGGACAATGATATATGATTGTTATGTAAAAATGTACGTAGTTTTACATCATAATCCAAAAAAAATACATATTTAATAATTTAATATTTGAACCAATGATTTTAACCCAAAAAAATCTAGAAAATATAAGTTTTAAGTGTCTAAGAAAAAGGAAAAAAAAATTTATGTATAAATTAAATATATTGAGTTGCACGAATATAGTTAGAATATGTTTGAAGATTGGATTGAGTATATTGCAATAAAAGAATATAATAATAAATTATCAAAACCTAAAAAATATTTATTTAAAATCAATGCCAAATTAAAAGAATTTTTTTTTATTAAAACAAATTTTCACACCCAAATTGATATTAACCATATGATATTAGAGTGTGTTAATGAATATAAAAAGATATTTATATACTAACATAAATACTTACCAATACACGATAT